GAGATCCTGCTCCCACTACCACTTTGCAACAGATCTAGGAATGGTAACTTAAAGACAGGACATTTATTTATATAGTACGAGTCTACCAGACAAAACCAAGGCGGGCCACTTGCAGGATTTGTATAGATCCTATTTGGGACCTAGGGTAGTGGTCCCAAATTCGGATTGATTATCTCAGGGCACTGAGGTCAGAATTTATTGCAAGAGTAAATCAATTTGGAGTCCTTCAGACCTACCAGGTAGAGATTCTTGGGTTTTTTGTTTGTTTTTTCAGGATTAAGAACTATTTTACTTTTTAATAATTTGAATTCATTCTTTTTATAATTTATCCACTTTACATCCTGACTGTAGCCCCTTCCTGCCTTCTTCCCCATCCCTCTCCCCTATTCCTCACAGAGGAGCCTCCTCCCCTTCCAGCTGACCCCAGCCTATCAAGTCTCATTAGGACTGCCTGCATCCTCTTCCTCTGTGGCCTGGGAAGGCCTGGTTTGGAGTCTTTTTTGTATGGATGATGACATAAGGCCATTCCCATGGATGAGGAAGAGGGGAATGTTTAATGCCTGTAGTCTAATATATTCCCAGGAACCAGGGGGGATAGAAAGAGGAAGAGACAGCTGTTTAGTGAATCATCATTGCACTGGATCTGAGGTCAAGGTAAAAAAGCCCGAGGAGACACAGTACCTGATACCAGTACTTTCAAATGAAGCCAAAAGGTGAAAATTGAGCTAAAAAAAAAAAAAAAAAAAAAAAAAACCAAGCCTGACCCAAGGGAAAGAGTCAGAGGTGGGTACCTTTGCCTACGAGAGTACCAGACTCAGGGAAGCTTTTATGCTGACCGATCGGGATCACTCAATGATTGCTGGTGATGGATGGAGAGCCAAGTGATTGAAGATGGATCCATTGCCAGTGGAGATATGGGATAAGGTTCTAGTGCAGCTTAGACCCCAGGAGGACCATGTAGGCACCAGGATATCCTACCGACTGGCTTTCAGCACCAATGTTAGGGTTTTATAGCAGAAGAGTATTTTACAGACTGACCTGGGCCGAGAAATGCTGCAGAAATCACACCATGTAACAGATCTCATACAAGAGATTTATTGATGTGTTGGGGACAGGCAAAAGGCCACTTCTGATGGGGACAAGTATGGGGTGTGTGGTGGCAGGGCCTTCCTAAGCGTATATGACTCATGGCAAGAATGGAAATGTGCTGCGTTTGGCAGTGGGTACTGATGTAGCTGCAGCGCTGACTTGCTGAAGGCCGGCTGTGGGAGCACCTGGGTCTGGGATGTGGGCAGTTCCTAAGAGTTGGCAGTTCATTTGTAAGCACATTTGGTTCTCAGTGTAAAGTTTTCTTTTGACTCCTTCAGCCTCACAAAGCACACACTTGCACCTGATTCTTAACCTTGGCACGATCACACCAGCTGTTCTGTGACCATGCTGTTGTGGGTCTAAACACGCCAAACCATCAGGTCCCACCAGGCAGTTTGTTTTCACTGCAGTTTGTACTTGGCTTTTCCTCTGCTTTGCTTTGCCTGGTGTTCTGCATACTCATCACTTCTGAGTTCCACAGGCTTTTCTACAGGGGAAACCCCTGCATTTAAGTACCACTCCTGTCCTTCACTTATTGAGGCAGGCTCCCCTGTTGCCCTCTGCTGATGTTAGGAGTCTAGTTGTTTTAGTGGTTTATACGTTCTCATTCAGGCTTTTATTTTGCTTTTAAAATAAGAGTTTGGAATACCACTGCCTCCTCCTTCTCCCTGTGTGCCCCCCCCCCCCCATCTCTCTGAGTAGCCCAAGCTATCCTGAAATGCAGGATTCTGCTGATTCTGATTCTGGAATGCTGGGATTGCAGGCACACACACCCATTCTTAGGCATTGATTTTGAGACCAAGTTTACATTCCTTACAATTAATCCTTTCATTGTACACCACTCTTTTGCAAACCATCATCACTAGTTCTAGCACATGCTCACCCCCCTTCAGAGCATACCAAGCCTTCATACACCCTTCATACTTCCTTCCCCTTGATTGATGTACATGGACTCAAAGAGTGTGGCCTTTTTGTCTGTCTTTCACTAGAACATTGCTTTCGAGGTATATTCATGTTGCAGCATGATCTGGACCCTACTTTTTCTTGGCTGACCTGTATCCTACTGTCAGGATGAACTGCTTTGCTTATATCTGTTCATCAGTTGGTGGTCACTGGATAGTTTCTTACGTTTGGATTTTTATGAACACTCTGACTCTCTTATGTTAGATTTCTTATCTTGGGTTATATATTTATTATTCCTAGATTTTCCTTCTTATGGTGTGTGTGTGGGGTGTAAGTATTTTTGGGTTGTGTGTCTTACATGGTTTTGCTTGATACATAATTCCAGAGCTGATTTTCCAGAGGATGGGTGTGCTGTGCGGGGATGCGGGGGGCCGGGTGGTAGGGGTGTCTAGTTGTTTCCCAGGCTGCTGTGCTCCTTTCAAGAGGCCTTTGCAGTTTCTAGTTTCCTGTCATGGTGGAAATCCTCCCTCCTCTTCAGAGGTCTATTCCCTCCCTGGCTCTCCCCGTTTCTGAGGTGTTTCATTCCCCATTGTGCTGGGTGCTCTTTGCTCTTTGTTTAGGTAGTTGTGTCTGGACAATTGTTAAATCAGATCTTTGAATCTCTATTTTCTGTGCTAGTTTCTCCTTTGACTTAGCAGTTCTGTGGTTGTTTCCATTCTGGGGCCTCTGCTTCTGTTTTTGCAAATGTTCCCGCCCCTCTCCCTTGTAGACCATGCTCCATTTCTGCCGTCATGGCTTCCTTTGAACACACCTGTCTTGCCTTTAGTGTGCTTGCCCATCTCCCTTTAGGACAGTACTCTCTTCTTGTCATGTCAGCTGTCTTCTCTTTGTCTCTAGGGATGTTGGGTATTTGACGTGGGAAATTCTCCTGAAGCTAGGCTGTCTTTCTTGCAAGTCATGCTTTTTTTTTTTCATCCTAAGTGCTTGACTCAAGGTAATTTTATGTCTCCTTGGGGTTGGGCGGAATACTAGAAAGCTGGTAGAAGGAAGCACTCTGAATATTTCCTTGGCTTCCTGACAGAACAATCTGGCTATGACATTGCTGGATACAGCCCTGGCAGAGTCTTCTCAGGCCTTTCTTCTCCAGCTCCCAGGATTCTCAGGAGATGTATGACCTGTCCCTGCTGTTCAGGGACAGTAGTGTTGGGAGGAGACTGATACTTGTCACAAGGTCAATGTGGATTAACTGCAAGTCTGTTCTCAGTGATGCATCCTAAGTTTCTCTCAGACCAGACCTATCAGCTGTTCCCCACAACAGACCAGTTGGACTTGTTGCCTTTGGTGCATTTTGATCCCTGTTTGCCTCTCAGGCTGATGTGTGTGTGGCTGGCAGTGTGCAATCTTTCGTGAGTCATTCCATTTGAGTCACAGTGTATTTTGGTGCCTGTCACATAACTTGTATCCAAGTTCTTGTTTCCAGGTAAAGAAGCCTGATTGTCAGCTTCTACAGTTTTTGCCATTTCATTTCCTCCACACTGTTCCATTTTCTTTAGGACAATGATAATTAATATTTTAAAGGAAATGAATTTAACATGCCCCTTGAACATCTTTCATTGGAGTCTGTAAGTTTTCTTCAAGTACCTAATGTGTTAGGTGTTGCTCCCTACAGTAGTTAAAACCAACTTAAAGTTTCAGAATGTGGGGCATTTCATTGTCAGCCTTGCTTCTTCTCTCAGCTGCCCAGCTGTTGCTAATGGCCACTTGGTCACTGAAGCTCAGCCATGGCTCGTGTGAAGCTGGAAGGGTCCCAGTGCTTTCACTTCCGTTCTGGAAGCAGCTCCCTGTCACCTGCCACTACTGCATTTCCTGCTTTTGCCCCAGTGTAATCCCATTGTGGTTGGTAGGCATTCAGGGCTTGCACCTCTCAGCATATGCTAGAAATGGAGCATGGTCCACACTTGGGAAACATGCCACTGGGCCTTTTCTTTGTCCAGGGCTGCACACCTGTCTTGCTCTTGCTCTTCGGGTTCCTTTGCAGCTGCCTGGCTCATTCCTAGCTTTAATTATTTGGTCTTCAGTATATACTCATGGATGAGTATATGTGCATCATGGCTTGGGGCTAATTTCCCTTAGCATGGCCTTGCAGTGGTGACACACTGGTGTCAGAGACTTTCCCAAGGCCGTTGGATGTTCTTCTAAGGAGCCTTTATGGATGGCTCTTGGTTCTACTTCTGTACTAGTTACTTTTCTGTTGCTGTGATAAAACACCAGAAGCAAAGCACCGTGGAAAGCATTTAATTGAGTTTGTAGTACAGAGAGTCCATGATGGCAGAGCAGAGGCAAGAGCACAGGAATAGTTGAGAGCTCACACCTGGATCTGTAATCAAAAGGCAGAGAGAACACTGGGAATTGCTTGAGCCTTTTGAGACCTCATCCACAGTGACACACCTCTTGCAACATGGTCACACTTCTCAATCTTTCCCAAAGCGTTCCAGCAACTAGGGACCAAGTATTCAAACATATGAGCCTGTGGGTGCCTTTTACATTCAAAGCACCACAGCCTGGGACCTGACATCCAGGATTGTTCAAGCAAACTGTAGGAAGGAACCACCTCCCAGAATACGTTTTCTTTTTTGTTGGAGAAAATGAAGTTTGGCAAATATGAAAGATGTATGCATGAGCTTGTGTGATGCTGAGATTTTCTTCTTTCCTCCAAGACTTCCAGGGTGATGAGGTTGCTCTCTGAACTCCTGCACAGAACTCCAGTCACCCCTCTACCTTCAAAAGACCCCTTACCATCCCTCACTTTGTATACTTGTGTAAGGGTTCTGTAGTGTTAAGTAATTACTAATTGTGATTCTTTTTCCTTATACAGAGCTTTCTCTCTGGAGAAACTGTGCACATGCACACATGTGTACATAAAAAATAAATACATGTATTAAAATGAGGGGAGAGTAGTTTTCCATGCATGGTAATACACTTAACTGAATGTCTTTCTTTTCTTAAAGTGGTACCCAGTCTTTGGAACGCTGATGCAGAAGTTACAGTCCCTGAACAGAAGCCCGGGGAAGTTGCTGAGGAACTAGCAAGCTCCTATGAGAGGAAGCTCATTGAGGTAAGGCTGCACAGGTGGGTCTCACGACTCCTCTTCTCGATGCTGTGGTTATTTAATGCTGTCTGTTCTGGCATGACCCGGGTGAGGACCTGCCTGCTATAGGAGCCAGCTAGCACCATATACCAAAAAGACAAAACAGAAAAAGATAACCCAGAATACTTGAGAGAAAAGGGAAGGGTGGCTCTCTGAAAAGCATCACTTAGCTAGAAACACTTGGCATCTGTGGCAGGTAAGCAGGAGCGAGAACATGAACGTGTAACACTAGAGTTCTCTCAGGGCTGGAGAAGGTTCAGTCAGAGTGCCTGCTGTGCAAGCCTGACGATCCAAGACTGTGTCCTAGAACGAGTCAGAAACAATCCCAAGTAATCTCTCTCGTAATCTCACTAGAGTAGAGGCAGGGACAAGAGGACCAGTAAGAGAACAAGAGGAATGAGTGTTATTTCTGAAGATGTCACCCAAGGTTGTCCTCTGGCTTCCACACATATATGCGCACATGAACACAAAGAAAGATGTAAATGTAGTAAAAAGAGCAGCTTCTGAGGAGGTGGCAGACCTTGGTGGTGATAGCAGTGGTCTGAGGACTCCACACAGAGCCTTGACAGTTACATCTCCTTAAAGCATTTGCACTTACCTGTATCTTGGTTCCAGTGTGTGTTCATTCCCCTGATAGAAGAAGTCCAACAAAAATAACATACAAAATGTGCCACTGGGGCACACCTGCAGATGAGGTCTAGAAAGATATTACCCAGTCATCTGCAAGTCACCTAAGTAATGGAAGGTTATTTGATAACATTTACTGAGTCATTTCATTTTTTATGTTTATGTACATGTGGTATGTGTGTGTAGGTATGTAGGGGCTAGGTTCACATGCTACAGCATGGCTGTTAGGAGAGCAGCACAGCTCTGCCATTGAACCACACCTCTAGCTCCAGGCCACCATTTTCATTGTGCTTTTTTAAAATTTGGTTCCTAAGTAAGAGAAGGACAGTGATATTACAAGCAACTTGAGTCCTAACTCAGGCGAGCCTAGGAGAAGGCAAGCTGCAGTTTGACAAAAAGGATCAGAAACCAGGGCCAGGAGAACTCTGTTCAAATGCTTTTCTCAGTGGGGTCATGAGACTGTGTTGGGTGGTGGCCTCAGACCCAGATTATTGAGTCCCTAGATTATGCTCAGAAAGCCCTTGGTGGAGTGGGAAACAGTTCCTATATGAGTGTTGTTATATTAGTTAGGGTCCTCTATAGGAACAGACGTCAATGAATGAATGATCTGTCAGTCTATCTATCTTAGTGGGACTTATTAGAGTGGGTTACAGGTTATGGTCCAGCTAGTCCGACAATAGCTGTCTACCAATGCAAAGTCCAACAATGTGGTAGTTGTTCAGTCTACAAGGCTTGATGACTTTCTTGGCTGGTCTTCAGTATACTCTGTAATTCTGCAGAAGCATGCTCTAATGCTAGTGAAGGAATGGACTTGCCAGCTAGATCAGGTCAAGCAGACAAAGAGCAAGAGCTTCCTTATTCCATGTCCTTATTTTGAGTGCCAACAGAAGGTATGGCTCGGATTTAAAGTGTGTCTTCAAAAGATTGGGATTAAAGGTGGGTCTTCCCATTTCAAATGATATAATTAAGAAAAATTCGAAAACTCATCAATGGTGGCCCATGCCTTTAATTCCCAGCACTAGGAAGGCAGAGGCTGTTGGATCTTGGTGAGTTCAAGTCCAGCCTGGTCTACAGAGTGAGTTCCAGGATAGCAGGGAAACTCGGTTTCAGGAAAACAAAACGAAATGAAATGAAAACAAAACAAAAACATAACATGTGCCCAGCTGCCTGGGTTTTAGTTAATACTGTGTCCTGCCTATGTTAAGAACTTTTTATTGGTAAATGATAAGGAGGCTTTGCTGGAACATATTTTTAAATTCTCCCAAAGACTGCACTGTGCCATTTTAATCAATGAAAGAAGAGTTCATAAGCTAGGGGGGAAAAGCGTTATCAGAGTGAAAGTGAGTGATGTAGAGTAGAAGTGGGTGGAGTGGGGGCTGTCACAGTGGAAGTGTGTGGAGTGGTCACCAGAGTGAAAGTGAGTGGGAGCTGTGGCAGAGACCTTGTGTTGGGGCTGGTTAGGAGTGCTGGTAGTTGCTTTTCTGTTACTGTGATAAGGTGTCTGAAGGAGGCGTTTAGGAGAGGGGAGAATTTATTTTATCGTGGGCTCATCATGGTGGGGCAGCTGAGACTCCTCACATCTCCACCAATTGGAGAGCTCTTCTAATTGGCTGGTAGGAGTGAAAATACTTTTGTGCAGACACTTGTGTCCCTCACTTTTCTATCGGAAACAGTGGACTCCAAGAAACTCGTATTCTCTAGGAATCTCACACTGGGCAAAAAGAAAGCCTGGCACCATCCATAGGAGAAACTTGCCTCCCAGCAAGAGGTTCACACAGCACTGAGAGCTTCTCTGCCCACCTTGCTGGAGATGCCCAATAGGTTTGGGACAGACCACTCCTAGGCTGGGGACTGCTTGGATACCAACAACTCTCTCACTGTCCTCAAACCATAACTGCATTTTAGGATCCTGTAGATGGATTCAAGACGATGTCGCTAGACCTTTTTGTCTCCAATTCCAGTGTGGCAACATTGAATACATTTCCCTTTTCTGGTTTCCACTGTTAATTTGTTTTAATTGATGTATCAAGGGTGGGTGGCTCCTGTGGGCGCAGGCTGTAACCTCAACTCTGGTAGCATTCTAGCCAGAACCAGGATTGGGCCATAACCTGCCTTCTCCATTTTAGAATTTTACAACCTCCCACAACATCCCCACCAGCTGGCTGGCTCCCCAAGCATTCGGCACACGAGTCTGGGGTGCCGTGTGATATACAGGTCATGGATACATGGTGGCAGCCATGCAGTAGCTTCCTGCAGGTGCACAGCTGGCTTTGAGAAGACCAAGAAAGCACCATTAGCTCATTATGAGCTCATCATGGGTTTTACTGTTCCCCACTTTGTGCAGAAGTAACAACAAGGACAAACACTTCTATAGGGAAGGAGGCAGGCTGGAGGAACAGAGTGGACAAAGAGAGAGGTGGAGAGGTGTCTGGAGAGGCAGGTGGGTTAGAGAACTTTTCATTGTAGGTGTGCCAAGACTGTGTCACCATCCACTGTGACCATGTTATAGTTTTCCGTCTCTGTCCCAGCCTCAGCCGTGTGTGCAGAGATCAGGTCACGGAAGAAGTTGCATCTTACTGTCCTGAACATAGTGGCCACTGGGAAGGCAGAGCTAGTGCTACAGGGCTAAATTTTCTCTTGCCAGCCTGAGCTTCCTTTTCTTCCTTTTGTAGTTTCCTTATCTGGGACACTAAAGTTGTTGATTTTGATCAATGTGCTGAGACTCATGTGAGACAGAAGTAAACATGTTCTTGTGTGGAATTATTCTGTTAATATTAATTAAAGCTAGTTATTAATATGTGGCAGTTATTTCTTAACCCGCTATTTTATAAATAAGTGACACAGAAACTTGCTAGATTCATGATAAACCTTAAAGCACTAAGGCTGGGCAGATATCAACCTCTAAGCTATCTTGTCTGCTTCCCATCCCAAATCCCCAGAAATACGTGCACATGATCCACTTGGGCTGCTTCTGCTCTGTCAGGCCAGTCCTCAGAGCAGGCTGCTCTTGTCACATGCTCCTGGTTATACTAACGCTTGGCCACCTCCTCCTTCCTCCTTCCTCTCTCCTCCTCGTGGTCCTTCTCCCACCCCACAAGCCTGTGAACTTTACTCTGCCTACCTGTTTTCTGCCCAGCCAGGCTGTCAACAACTGTATTAGCCAGTCAGGGATAATTGGGAAGGCAAGGTTCATACATCGTTTTGGATACGTGATAATTTCCTCATAGGACAGTAAGGATGTTGGGGGGCAAGCAATTGACATTGGATACATAGTAGCTCCAGATCAACCACAGCATGTCAAGTGTCCCTTGCCCCTTGCCCCCTTGCCCCCTTGCCCCCGTGCCCCATTGCCCCCTTCCTTCCTTCCTTCCTTCCTTCCTTCCTTCCTTCCTTCCTTCCTTCCTTCCTTCCTTCCTTCCTTTCCTCCCTCCTTCCCTCCTTCCCCTCCCTCCCTCCTTCCCTCCCTCCTTCCTTCCTTTCTCCTTGTGTATGTATGTGTGCAGTTATTTGTGCACATGTGTGTTTGTTCATGAGCATGTGGAAGCAAAATTCCCTACTTTGATGTTTTGAGATAGGGTCTGTCACTGGACTGTGACTCACAGGTTTGGTAAAGCTGGCTGACCAGTTAGTCCCAGGGATTCTCCTTTCTTTGCCTCCTCAGCACTGAGATTGACCACCACACCTCTTTTTTATGTGAGTTTTGGGGATCAAATTGAAGTACTCATGCTTATGTGGCAAGCAGTTTACAGATTGAGTCATTTTCCAGCCCCTCAGGTAGTGGTTTCTCTAGAGATGGCTTTTCCTTCTGATCAGGAAGGAGGATACTCCTGTCTGTTCTTGTAGTTGTGATGGCTTTAGCAGGTCCTGCACCAGTGTTCTGCTAACCTTTGTGTTCCTGTGGATGGAGCCCTTCAGAAGCTCTTTGTGATGCTCCTCTATTATTCTACAGTGAGTGGAGTTTACTCAGAGAGTGATTAACACTTCTGAAGTGGAGTTGGGAGCTAATGCAGTGGGAGGTGGAAACTTTGGCATTGGTGGGTGCATCTTTCCTTCTTAGCATGACCAAGAGGGAGAATTTTTATGTCAGTTCTATGACTACTTAGAGGATTGCGAACATTGTGATTCATCCCAGTGTGAAGAGACTCCTGAGCATGCTGTCTCAGTGTCTGTCTTCAGAAGTATGCAGTTTGTCCCCATTTGTATGCACACCACACGCTTGTACTCAGTGGCCTGTAATCCAGCACCTGGGCAGCTTTGTGCCCCATGAGCACTGTGAAGCCGTCTGTTACTTGTGGGTGAGCAGTGAACGCTGGAGACTGAAGTAGAAGGGCTGGGTGTGG